GAGGGCGGGAGGGGGGTCTTTAAAAGTTGCTGCACTTACGCCCTTGCGAGACGAGGAGCGGGAGCAGAACCGTTTACCGTTCTCACCTCAACTCGCCCGGAGGAGAGTTTGGGGAAGGGGGGAGGGGGGGGGCGTCGGGAGCCAGCGCAAGCGAGTCACCAGCGAGGCAGCAGGCAGGGTCACCGTCAGGAACAATTGCACGTGGCACCTCCCTTAATGAGCCGGGCACCACATGTAGTTGCGAGTCCTGCTCCCCGTAAGCCGTGTGCACCGCCGGGTTGCAGTGATACGCTCTGCAGGCGCGCGGGAGGATTGCCTGCCGACCGGGAGCGAGCACGGCGTCGACCGCGCCCGCCTCCGGCCCCCGCCCACCGCCGCGCCGCGCCTCCCCAACTTTGTCGCAATAGCGCCTTGTTGGACAGTTAGCAGTGCATCGACATACATATTCGAGAGCTCCAATGATGACTCTGTGATTTCAGTTTTGCGCAACACGCAGGTGTGAAAAACCCCAAAGAAGGCCGCTGCCGTCCGCATCCACCCAATCCCAAGCATACCCAGTTTGTCAAGGGCGGTAGATTTGCACCACACATACCGACTGCTAGCTGGGGGATGGGGGGGGGGGCGCCTCTGGTGGGTGTTTGTAGACAAGTGGGAGTGGCCGACGGGGCGGCAGTCGAGGCGCTCATTAAGTTGACACCCTCGCAGCAGTGCTGCCCCGCTGCCCACGCCCCCTCCCCACGCCTCCCCCCCTCCCCTCCTCTTCTTTTAGCCTGCCTCACCGCATTCTCAATTTCACTCACTCGGAGTGGATCGTAAATTCAATGAACTCTTCCCAATGCGACCCTGCTCGGCCGGAGCACTGAAGACCGAGCCGAGCCGTCGGCCGACCGTCGGCCGTGCCACCACCACCGCCGCCGAGGCCACCACTTCTCGACGCATTTAACGCGCATCCCCCCCCCCAAACTCACAAAACAGTTGTACTGCTGACAGTTGCCCTGAATGCGTGTGTGTTTCTGTGTCCAATGGCGGATTCCGTTCGACACACCGGCGTGCAGCGAGCGATCGGGTCCGAAGTCGGCGTCGGCGGGGCGGTGCGGAAGGCCGAGGCCGCGGCCGAAGTCCGGTGACGCCAGAGACGCCACGGATCTGGCGAGTCGGAGGGGGTGGGGGTGGGGTGGTGGTGGTTGGAGCGGGGAGCGGTATTCACTGACCGGCGGACAAAGGACTTCACGGCCGGTTGGGTGCGCGCTCTCTCTCTATCTCTCTCTCTCTCGCTCTCTCTCTCTCTCTAGCCCGCCCCGCCTCCTCCCCTCCCCCGGGGACGCGTTATGCGACGATGTGGCCCCAACAGAACAAGGGTGTATTACAAGTAAGTGACTCTGCACAACTTGTCGTCAAGGACCAGCTCGTTCAGCACGCACCGCGCTCTTCGTCCTTACAGCACTGCTGACGTAAACCGGGAGAAAACGAGAACGGCACTTACTTTGTTGAACCCCCCCCCCCCCCCCAATGAAAAGCCTGCAATCCATAAACAACAACTTCATCAGCAAGAACAACATGTGAGTTGCCCAGATGGTCCAGGCAGCTGGGTAGGGTTGCCGAGGCGGTCCAGACGGTAGGGTTGCACTGGGTTGGGCTGTCAGGATGGCACAGGCCACTGGGTAGGGTTGCCTAGCTGGCCCGGGCCACTGGGTAGAATTGCCCAGGCGGCCTAAGTGACTGAGTGGGTTTGCCCAGGCGGTCCAGGAGACTGGGTAGGGTTGCCGGGATGGCCAAGGCAACCAGGTAAGGTTGCCCAGGGGGTCCAGGTGACTAGGTAGGTCGGGTTGCCTAGGGGGCCCAGGAGTCCGGGGTGTTCTTAACTTCAGACCAACTGCTTAATTTTTCAGAATTTTTCTTTTGTAACATATGTAAAAGAAAAGCATTTGTCTTATCAGTAAGCTTACAACTGGATGAAACACTTCTCATGTGCCAACGGACGTACTTGTCGCCTCGACTTTGCATCCGGAAGCAGAGGATCTGAAATCTCCACGATCTGTTTTAAACGTCTTTCACGGGGGAAAGGAGAGTGGGGAAAACTTTGGTAATTAGACGAACGACGGTGCGGCTCTCTGCGCGTTTAGGCCTTGCCGGTTTTAATTACTATCGTCCAGGTGACCAGATGGTCGGTTCCAGGCTATTTGTCCCAACCCAATTTGTAGATTTAATAAAACATCAACAAAAATAAAGTGGGGGGCCTCTACCCATTCTGAAGCACCCAAGGACCAGCCTACTTGAATCCGCACTAGATGTGGGTAGCACTCGAGGGTGCAAGAACTCCGGGAATCATGTGTACACTTGCCTGGGAATCATCACGATAAAATTTGATCGAAATCAACAGAAATCGCTTTAACTAAGCGGGAAACTAACGGAACTGGTACAAATTCGTCGAAATAAGCGTTTTCTACAACTAGAAAACCTAAGGAATATATATAAGCGGGAGGGAATCACCGGGAATCACTGAGAATCAAGTATTTCGGGAATCATGTGTACACTTCTAAAGGGAGTTAGTTATTGCCCCCTCGGTAGCACTGTAGTCACTTCACCAAGGTGGTGCTGTGCTAGTGGGGAAAGAGCGACGAGGGGAGGGGGAACTTTGTCTTCCGGTAGAGACAGTCTGAGGGACTGGGACTGTCTAAAAATCCACAAATTATTGTATTCAAGGCTCCGGCCAGCAACGGTCTTAAATTTTCAAAATACGTAAATAGCCCCTTTCCCAAAATACATATGTTGTCATGCTTTTGGGCGCAACACTCGTCCCCCCTCCCTACTCCCTTGCCCCTTACCCCGCTCTCGTAGGCGTGGGTGGGAGCTGGCGGCCGCGTGCGTTGTCAGACACATGACTCGTGAGCAGACGGATGGAAGGCTAAAGGCTACCGTCTGGACTGTTCGGAATTGCAGACTCCCCCCCTTTCCCTTCCCTTCTCTGCCTAGCCCGATTGGTCGCGCATTACTGCAAGTGACGGCCTCTGAGCAGCGTAACTCGTCGGGTTTTACTTCTATCCAAGAAGTTTTCTTTTCAGCCGGTCGGTAGGGGGTTTAGTTTTTGAGCGGCTGAAGAAGGTCGATTTTGATTTTATGCCATTATCTTAAGTCGAAGTCCCTGTAACTGTTCGCAACTAAGTACCTGTCTCCAAAACGGACTCCTGGTGATTGGAGATGTCCCGTCGTTGTTTATAATAGGGATACGGGGATACGCCACTCGGTACCCGTCCCCTCCGTGAGGTCACGGCCCGACCAATGGGGAGGCGGACGCCGAGCCGAGGCGTCCAATGGGGTGCGCGCCCGCCGCCCCGCCGGAGAGCCGGGCCCGTCCCTGCGTCCAGGTCAAGGGGGGGCTGCCGAGAGTCAGTCTCCCTCCGACGGCGCGCCCCCGCAGTCGCCCCACTGCCCTGGTCCCGGAGGTGAAGGAGCAGTCCCCTGCTCTGGACCGCTTCAGTTCGCCCGAGGAAAGGTCCAGGAGGAGCCCCCCGGGCCCGGGTCTGACGCAAACGTGAGTACCAGACGACAGCACCGCGATCACAAACGGCGGCCTCCCAAACGCGTCACTTTTCCGCAACCACAAAAACGAAATTTTTCTCGCCTGCTCATAATTTTGAATGGGCCAGACTTATCTGACCCGATATCCATTTATTCCACTCATTACGGCCTCCGCTCCAGCCACGCCAACACAGTCCCTCACCGCCCCGCCCCGCCCCGCCCCGCCCCGCCCCGCCGTCCGCTCCAGTTCCAGCGCCTCCCGCTGACTTAATTCTCCTTCAATCTCTCGGTGGCGGCGTGCAGCAGGAGGCGGTGAAGTTGCGGTGGAGATGGGCGGCGTGTGAGTCCACATACTCTACTATCGCGCGCGCCCCCGACACCAGCCTGTTTTATTTCCGGGCTGATAGGTGAAAAAATCAACTCGCCACGCCAGCGAGCGAATCATGACAATGAGTTCACACGAACTTTCCTTGTAGAAGAACATGCAGGATGAACCGCATTCCTAAGACACTTTTTAGTTATTGACTGTACCGCACGCAGGGGTCTGGCCGCGTTGCCTCCTAGTCGCTGGGGACCATAACGCGCTGCGACGTGGTTAGTGATGGTAGGCAAACCCACTAGCACGGCTGTATGCGAAACAAAGTCATCTCAAAGAGTTCCCGGGTCCGCCATTTGTCGTTGCAAACTTACCCAGAGGTCAGCCTGCGCAAGCTCTCTTAGCGCCTGGTAGGTAGGCAACATCTTACCTGCAGTGCGCGTGTGTCTTGCGGGGTGGCCTACCCCGAGTCTCGCAGGCGCCGAGCTCCCGTGACTTACCGAATGAATCTGAGGAAAACTGTGATCCGAGATCGGTCTACTTTCTAGAGGCTTCTCTCGGAGTCGGGTGACAACTAAGACTTTCGGTATTTCACTGTATACAGTTTATTACTCACATATCGTCGGAGCTCTGTGATACATCCTCAGGCTGGGGCGGTGTAACACCTACTGACACATTACCGCTCCTTCCTTTTGTTAGCGTATTCAGAGAACAAGGTGAGAGGTACGTCACCGAGACAATGACCTTGTAATTCATGTACATGCAAGCACCTCATTAACCACACCATCACTTAGTCGTACAGTACAGTACCTGCAAGACACCGAAAAGGTACGTACGACCAGGATCATAAAACGATCGTGATCGTACCGTCTGGACGGTCGCTTACCACGAGCATCGTTCCGGAGGAAACGTGCACCTTTTTAACGTCCTATTTCAGGCCTTTCTCCCTCGACTGCGCGCGAGGCCCGGCCGGTAGCCGGCCTCCCTCTACGGTGAAGCGCGCGCAGAGCGAGGGTCCGGGCAGCAGCCAGGGTGCCGCCGGTATGAGCGGCTCGGGAAAGGGCCTGCTGGGCCTGTGGCTGTACCGCCAGGGCGGCGAGGACTGGGCGCTTCGCGACCGGCCGCCGGGCAAGGTGAGTCAGCTGTGCGAACCGTGAGGGGGCACGATAAGTTCGAGTATATACGCCTATTTATCCGTTTTGATTTATTTTTCTTGATTTATTTTTTATTTCT